TTGGCCTGATTGCTGCCTCCTTCCATCCGTCCTCTCTAAGCATTTGTGTAATTTCGCGCAGGATCTCTTCATCTAATACTCCTGCCTGGTTCTTGGCAGCAGCGTACGCCGCCAGCTCTTCCACATTCAAGTTTGGAACGTTAATCTCCATTGCCTAATTCGTTTTGGACGTCTCGTTCTTTGCCTGCTAATATGCAGGGCTTCCGGTCGCTCTTCGATCCGCTCGCGCAGTCCTTGACTGCGGCCTACTCCTCGTTGGTGAGGACTAGTAGGGCTTACCTTCGGCCGTACTTCTCTTCTAGCCGGTTCTGAACAGCGTTTGGCTGCTGTCGTGTCGCGTCCCTAGGAAGACTCGCGTCTTGCCGTCTCGCTCGTGGGATCTCGTCTCTAATTGAGAGTAATCGCACGGCCTGCACCCTGTCCGATAGAGGATCGACAGGACTTCTCACTACAACGTCCGCTTCTAGCTAACTGTACGCTAGGCCCAAGTGGCCTTTAGGTAGTTTATCACGCGACGTTGCGCCTACGGCTCGGCTTTCCAAGACACGGTAGGACTTCCTAGACAGGTCCTGGGCGACTAAATCGCCTACTGTCTCTCACGGCTGAACTTCCTGCGAAGCTCTGCCCTAGGTGTACTGTCTTACGACGGTCTACCTTCTCGCTGCACTAAAGGCCTTTTGTACCTATTGCAGCACTAACTCCGTATTACTAGCTCGCACTAACAACACGCTCTAAAACTTAGTTAGAAGACAGTCCGCCTAAGGCTTATATCTAATTAGGATTGAATACAAAATGTAAGGGGCTGCGCTCTAGGGAGCAATCGCAAGGTATACAAGAGGTTGTATTCGATAGAGAGCTATAGAGTCTACTTGCGTGGTGTTTATTTACTTGTTAGAGAAAGGTTGCACCGAGTGTCTGAGCGCGTCGTCTGGGCGCCGCTCAGGCCTCGCACAGATGCCGGGTTGCAGAGTAAGACCTGGCGTCTGCTGCTTGACCGAGATTCCATCGAGGAGCTATCCAAAGGGCGTTCAGCCCGTTACATAGATCTTCTACTTATATACTAGGGCTGTAATCTTTTAAGCTCTATCTAGGATAGTAGGTATTAAAATCTCCTAGAATAATTAAGTTTTCTTATAGTGTTTCTTATAGTAGCTGCCTTTAGATTATTAATTTTTCAAGCCTCTCTTAGAGGCTCTTTTTATTATAAATATTGTAGATATAGAAGCTAGAAGGAGTAGCTAGTACTTTAATAGCTTAGAAGTCGTTGTTGTTGCTAATAAAAGGAATAGTTTCTACTTCTAGATCCTTTCTAATATAGAAAAGTACTCTAGGCCTAAGAGAGTTATCTCTTAGAGTAGGTATTATCTAAGTATAGTCCTAGTAGGCTACTAATCTAGTATTCTTATAGGTAGATTGATTTACTAACTAAAGCTCTTATATAGCTAGTATCTTAGCGTCTACTTAAATAGCTAGATTTAGCGCGCTTTCTATAGTAGGGCTATTTCTATTAATATTTATTTATAGAACTTTTAACATTCTAGTTTAATAAGGTAGTTATTTTAGAGACTCTAGCTTATATAATCTTATAGTCTTAGCTATTAGCCGCGTGTGGTTTGCTGTAGTTCGCACACTTAAAGATAGTATGTACGCAGGCTTTGCCTTTGCTAGTACAAGACTTGCACTTGTGGAGACTAGTATAGTGGGCTTCGCTGCAGATCTAACAGGCTACTTTAGAGCATCTAGTCTCTAGGTGTCTAAAACCTTGACATTTTAAGCACTATTTAGAGTTATTAATAACTCTAAGCTTTTCTGCTCTAAGACTTTGTCTAAGGATATAGAGCTTTCCTCTAATAGCTCTTTGGGCTTCTTCTTTAGTAGCAAAAGAAACGTAGGCAGATCCTAGGTTTTAATTCTCTCTTCTAGCTTTAGGGGTAAGCTAAAAAGGTGTTCTTACTACTTTTGGCCCTTTATTAAAAGTCTTAATTTTTTCTTTTAAGACTTCTAGGCTATAGTTTAGTAGTAGCTTATAGATAACTACTTTAAACTAGGGCGTAATTAGCTGCGTAGTCTACAACTACGTAATATCTTGCTAGATATTTTAGTTATCTAGGAGATATTTTGCTAAGAAGGCTAGCGTAGTAGTAATAATCTTATTACCTTTCCTTAAGATTATTACTAAAGCAACTACTAGAGCTTAGACCCCACCTTTAGTAGTAAAGGCTTTATTAAAAGCATTCCTTAGCTTTAGAGTGTTAAAAGCAGCTAGTGTTTTATTAACTAGTACTATCTAGCGATCTAATAGACTAGAGGTTTTTTCCTTTTAGGTAGGTTTCTAGTTTTTGTGTTAGACATTAATCTAAGGTTAGTTAGTTAGGTAAAGTAGTTAGCGGCTGCGGGTGGCTTTTCTAGGCGTCTCACTTTCTCTTATAGTTCTTTTAATACGTTAGATAGTGTAAGAGGCTACGCCTAAAGTGTGTGTGTGATCGAGTATATCTATACGACTACCTAGACTTCAAGAAGCTTGAAGTCTTGTTACTGCCTTTTTGGCTATGGATGGCGTAAGTAGTCGTACGCTCGGCCCGTTGGGCCCGCCCATTACAGATAGTGCGTAGATTTAGTCTCCTAGAATAGCAGAGTTTTTCTTATTTACTCTGCTATTCTTTGTGAAATCTTTAAATATTTCTACTAGATCTAGTAGACTAGTCTACTAGGTTAGATTGTTTTTAGCTAGATTAGCTGCTTAAATTACTAGGTTTCTAGCAATCTTAAGGGCCTCTTCTACTATAGCCGCCTTTAGAGTTCTATTTTAGCTAGAGAAAGGATTTCTTAGCGTTAAGCTAATAAAAGAAGAAAAGTTACTCTTAGTGCGTCTATAAGTTTACGTCTTCTCTAGTAAGAAGTTAGCTTATTTTTTATTTAGTAGGAGGATTATGTTATGGGCGAGAGAGGCCTAACTAACGAGTATGCATTCACCTATTTGTTACGAACCTGAGGGAGGAAGGCACAGCGGTTAAGTTAAAAGGAACGACGACAGCCAGTCAACCCCGCCCTTTGTAGAGCAAGGAAGGATCACGTGACCTCCTCGGACCTCTACGCGCGAGGAAGAGTCTTGGCAGACTCCTCGTGCATAAGCCACAGAGGAAAGCTCCTCGTGCATCAGCCACTGAGCAATCCTCGGACTCCTCTGACCGAGGGCTACGAGCACCATAGGTATATAGCATAGGCAATGTAGCCCTTATAGCTCATTGTGTTCAACTTAAGTTACAAGTACAAGTACAATACAAGAGTTACTTGCAGAGACACTGTTCATACCACCCTGTTGCTTCATCCGCGAAAACCAACCTCAAGAGTCTGACACCAGAAGTCTTATATTACTTCCACTCAGATCCTACTCTTAACACTATTGTACAGAAGAAGAAAGATACAGAAAAGAACTATCTAGAGGGCCCTCCTTTTATAGTTGTTACTCGTACGAACGCTCAGACCTTTAGTCTTCCTTCTTACTTAAGCTTGTTCGTACGTAACTAACCACGTCATTTAGTCACGTGACTAAAGTCATGTGATTCACTGCCATGTGACCTGTAGGTCATGCCTCTCTGGCGTAGCCCTTTACAGATTAGAATTTTAAAAACGCTAAGAGTTTCTAGGTTTTGCGTAGGCGTAGCTAGCTAGGTAGATTCTATTTCTATCTTATTTTAGATCTGCCCTTCTAGCTCTCTAGTGTCTTGTCCTATATTAGCGTTAATAGTATCGCTGTCTAGTGGCATTTTACTTAGTAATCTACGTGGTCTATGTGTTTTATAATTAGAATGCGATGTGTCTAATAAGGTCTACTTTAAAGGCTTCTAGCAGCACAGCGCGCAGGTTGCACGTTTTAGCAGTGGTTGCAATTAATTTCTTAGGGTTTCTTTGTATATAATAGACTAAAATTACACCTATTCTGAAAAACTCGAAGTTGGTGATGTGTTGTGGTGGGGCTAGTTAGCTGCCAACAAAGCTACAAACCTTGTGATTGCCGCTCTAGAAGGCAAAAAAGACTATTCGAATGCGCAACATGACACGAAGCAGCGTCTAGGCGAGATCAATGCCCTAGGGTTACAGTCTTCGAAGCCCACTGCTGTTCGTGCACAAGCGTTAAAGCGACGTTTAATAGCACTATCTCAAACTGCGATGAGCGAACGAGCCAGCTCTCATCTGCAATTTAGCTTCTCACACTTTCATAACATATCCCTGGGAATTTTGCGCTGGCTTTGCAGTGAATCCCCAACGCCGTTCAGCCTTGTCGACGCGACTAGGCCCATTGGATTTTCGTGTGATCTCCTGCAACCTTGTATAGAGGATTTTCTAAATCAAATGCCCTCTCAAGCTTGGCTGTGGCATTTTGCAGCACCTCTGATAGCATCCGCTCTGCTGCTCGCTAGCTACCCTCCCGGTGCACATAGTAAGCAACTCATTCCCCATATCTTTCGATCGCTAACAGGAGTAGGCTTTACGCCAGAATGTCTTTTCAATAAGATCTACTCTGCACCCTGCCGTGCCGCAATATCTTCATATACTCTCTTCCCGGGTATCCAGACAAAGTTTTTGACTGCAATACTTAACGAGTTTTGTGCCATGTTCGCTGACTATGCAGTTAATGGCCTAACCTCTCGAGAATACCATCGGAAAACTTTTACACTTCATCATGCTCATTTAGTTGAATTCAGAAGCCGTCGATCCTGCTTTAGTTGTTTTATGCGGATGCCTGAAAAAGTCTTACCTTGCGGACATGCTCTCTGCGATCCTTGTATTAGGGCTTTAGGGATACGCTCGCATATTGACAAAAATACCTACGAGATTCCCGAGTGCATCCTATGCGGGGTTAACTACCGCTACTCAATATTCCACTTTATACCTCCTACTGCAGGAATACGAATCCTTAGTGTAGATGGCGGGGGTGTAAGAGGCGTTATTCCGCTAGCTTTTCTTAAGCACCTTGATTTGCTACTCGCCCTATTGTGTTGTTTAGTAAAAGACTATTTCGATTCTGTTTGCTGTACATTAGCAGGTAACGGCATGCATTACGCTTTAACTAATAATTTTTACTTACTTACTTACATAGGTGGACTTATAGTAATTGGCATGTTCTTGCTACAATGGAGCGCATCTGAATTGTTAGAAAAATTTAAAGACGTGGCAAGCAAGACGTTTGAAAGGCGGAAAGCACTAGTTACGAGAGCCCTCTAGTTATTTATAGGCTATATTTAAGATGGTTAATATAGTTTAGCAGCGATTTAGGATGCTTTTAGGAAAGCTCTTAACTCGCCGCTCTAGATGTTTAATCTACTAAGGAACGATACCAAGGTTGCTGTCACAACAACAACAGTCAAAGACTCCTTGCCTTGGCTATTCACAAACTATAATGGTGGAAAGAGATCTAATAATATAGGTTTGTCGTACAAGTACGCGATAAAACCGTTATTAACTTGGATAGGATATGATGTTATCCGAGCTTATAGAGCTGAGAGTGACATTACTGTAAGCGATGCGTAAGTATGTTCGTTAGTTTCTTATTACGATTGACTAACCCTTCTACTGCATGCTGTACCTCTGTAGCGCCGTGGTAAATAAAGCAGCTCTGGTGCTTAGTCCTATTGCTTTACTTACCGTACTAGGTTCTTTAAACCCTAAGTCGTATAGTTACTAGGAGCTTTTCAGGACGGCGGACTGCAACATAATAATCTAGCAAGCATTGCGCAATGGGAAATGCAATTTTTATGGCCGAATAAACTACAACTAGACTTTGCGCTTTCGTTAGGAACAGGAACTTTATTACCTGCTATAGTTAGCAAGTCTCTAACGATATCACGCTTTTACATACGGTTATTTAAAAGTTTTATGCGTAACCTTGACGGGGAAGACGCATGGAAGTAATTTTTAAATTCAGTGTTACTATGTGTATGGCAACGCTTTCATCGTCTTAATGTTAGACTTGCTGGCCCTGAACCTAGTCTTGATGATACGGTTGTAATACTAGAACTGAAAACTAAGGTAGAGCAAACTATCGTTGAAGAGAGGCTACTAATATCTAGCATTTTCGACTCTATGATAGCGTTCATGTTTTACTTCGAGTTGGATGATCTGCCGACACTTAGGGACGCTGGTTATAACTGCAATGGATTTATATTCTGCTGAATAGATATCCCGTCAGATGGTCTCCGCTATTTGTACAATCGCTTACTTGATACTAAGTCATGGTTCTTGATCTAAGGTAGTCTAGTGAGTTGTGTTCACAACGGGTATATACCAAAAAGCCTACCACCTTTTAAGCGTTATGTCAGTTTCCAGGTAGAAACTCTAGAGGAGACAATCACGATATCAATCCATAGTATAACATCAAAGACTTTATGCCTAAGTGGGTTTCCTACTACAGTTTAGAAACTTATCGATGCTCAACAACTCAACAGCCCATTTGGAACTGTCGATCATACCGTGAAGGAAAAACAACTCCCTGCTATTCCACAGAAGCGCTCTAGAGATAACCCATAGTGGGTTACACGTAGTATAAAGAAGGCTTGTATTTAGCTCTACTAAAGTAGCATTAATTAAGCTGGTACTTATTAATTATAAAAGGCTGCCTCTCACTTGTTCAGATAGCTAGCAAAAAAGAACACCCTCGCTTGAATTAAGTGTATCTATAATAGTTTCTAGAGAGCGACTGAACGTCCACTGAGTGGAAAAAAAAGCGTACTAAATCTCTCCAGCGGGGAATCGAACCCCGGTCTCCCGCGATCTGTCAATCGCTTGACAAGCGGAAATACTGACCTCTATACTACTGAAGATACTAAATTAGGATTGATGAATGTTTGACAAAACGTATGATTTATATACACATTAACTAAAACTATACTTGCGCAAATGTGCGCGTCTAGCTGGAAAGACTATAATTTTATATCTGACGAACATACTCTTAATAATGTTCCTACTAAAAGGCGTAACTGGGAGCGAGAGGTAACGCTGGACACGATCTCACCAGCTTTCCCCGCTAACTTAGCCATATAGCTGTGATCACAACCACTTAGTTAGGGCTCGCTGATGAACATCAAGTTAACAAGATAATTGGCCATCGTTGACCAGTCTAGCCTAGTTTGCCGCGAGCCAATCACCTCTTGTATGGTGAGATAAAGACCGTGCACCGCCAAGCGCCTTGTCGCCCATCCTTACGCGTTAAGCAACATCCCCCACTATGTAACGAGAATCACTCTGCAACGAGATAATTTTACTATTTGGTCGTCCTATGTCACTTCTACACGAGTCTTTGAAGTCGCAGCTACTATATCGCGATTCTTTGGCCAGTCCTGCACGATCGCTTTCCGGAGTAATGTCAATCCCTGCGTGCTAGGACGCACGGTGTGGCGGGACACCTTTTCTTCCGGATGCTCGGGTTGCGTGTAACGTACTTAAAAATAGATAAACATGATACGTATCTATTCTATAACGTGGTTCATAAGCGAGTCGGCCACCCAAGCGAGTCGGCCACTTTGTACCGTCGCGTCAACTTCAACACGTTATCACAGTCTTTTATCACAGTCAATAAACTATTGCAATATACTAAATTAATTATTAGAATTACTACTATCACTTGCACTATCTATCTTAACTACGCAGGTACGAGCGTTGTGTCCAGTCTGCTTACAACGCCCGCACCGCCGCTCTCCTCGCACCCTCTTCGACGCACTCTCACTATCACCACGACTACTACCCGCCTGTTCAGCTAATACTTCTTGTACTTCGCCTATAGTAAGAGTCTCTTCTGTCCGTACGTATCGCCGCTTGCGGTTCTTACGCTTATTTGCTGTGTCTAGAGCCTCTTGAAGAGCAGCTACTTCCTCCCTCATAAGCGTTATCTTATGTGCTATTTGCTAAGCCCCTTTACTTAGCTATACAACCTTCTCGTCAAGAGAATTTGCAGAAGACCTAGGGCGGTTTCTTACTCTCTGTTAAATAAGAGTACTTTAAGCCTCAACCTCGCGCGCGTTGCGTGGTGTCTGCGCCTCCTAGGCGGCTACCTATCGCGGTGATTGTACTAGCGTCTGCACCACCACATCAAGCTTAGATAGCACAGCCTGTGGGTCGTGTGGGACTAGTCCAGCGCCTCTGAAGCTAGCTTGGATATTCTCCTTCGTGATAGACTGCTCAAAAGCAGCCTTAAAGACTGGTAGGAAGGTCTTCTTGCTAATATAGTAGGTGCGGTTACGTGCTAAGCCTGAAACAGCGTCGCCATACTTACGCTTCAACGGCGAGAAGCAGGCGACGTCAAGGGGCTGCAACAGGTGAGACGAGTGTGGAGGCATGCAGAGAAAAATAATATTCTTCTCCTTGCAAAGCTCTTAAAAATCAATAGAGCAGTGGCTCTCATGGCCGTTAATAATAAGCAGTTGATACCCACCTACAGTATGCCTCTTTGTATGGGTATCAAAGTGCTCTAACTAGGCAAGACCATGCTGATTATTCGTCTAGCTATTAGGACTGACTTCAAGAACCTAGTTGGCAGGCAAATCCTTAAACTAGACGTTGATAAGCACCTTGCCCGCAAAGACAACAAAGGGTGGTATTTGGCGACCCAACGCGCCCACGCCTTAGATCACAGTAACCCACTCACGGTTGCCTAGCTGTACCTGCTTCTTTTTCCTATATCCTTCTAAGCCTGTGATAACTAACTGTGATAAAATCTTGCCTATTATAAAGCTAGTTTCGTTAAAGTTGTAGATATTATCGTCTACAATACCCTACTTCTGCTTTGTCGCCTGGACTAAGTCAAACCAGCGCTAGATAGCCACTGGATCCTCGCAGGCGGCTCGCTAGTGATTATAAGGACGGCTCTAGCGCGTACGGAGCTCAGGAGTCCGCTTAACAAAGTTGTCAACCTAGTTCTTGCCAACAGGGTTGCCACCACGCTCCTCTAACAGTTTATTAGCTATTGCTCGAACCTTAGCCTTTATAGGGGCAAATCCTCGCGTAGACTCTTCAAGAATACGCCTAACAATAGCCTCCTCTTCTAGCTTATTTAGGCGCTTTAAATTTAGTTCGCAGTTGCGTTGAAAGCGCTTTCTAGCGCGTTGGTCTTAGAGAGTAGTTCAAGGCACGTTATAGATAGAAGTAGCACGTCTTTGGCTTTAAACACGTTGCGATTGGATGTTAAAAAGAGCAAGTTGAAGATTAGATTTAGAATAGATTAACAAATGATTGTGTGGTTGAGACATAGCGCGTTATAGTGTTAACGTCGACGCGCCGGTACAAAGTGGCCGACTCGCTTGGGTGGCCGACTCGCTTATGAACCACGTTAGCTCTTGTTCTTCTAGTATATCACCCTCCAACGCCGAAAAGCGTGTTATTAACCATACTATCGCTCGTTTTGTTAGTGCCGTTCATCGCCTATTCTCTAATATCCCCTTGTTTGTTCGCGATAGCATAGATTTCTACATAGCTCGGTAGGCTAGAAAGAAAGCCAAGATAGCAAAGATCAAGACTGCACACTCAAAGAGTCGACTTAAGGTGAGCGGTGTGCATCCCGGCAGTTTCTCCGCGCTGGCGATAACATCGTCGAACCAGTTGTGGGACTTTAGCAACATTTTTGGCAGCAGTACTGTAGGTGGTCAGTGCGTGCAACTGTTCAGCGGATGCAACACCATCTGCACCTTCCTAAAACAGACCCACCCACTTCAACGCGTGATAACTCCACCACCATGACTCTAATTGAGAAAGCGCTTATAGTAGTTAATGCGTAAGATCCTAAAGAACGACTTTTGTATAGAGTAGCTACGAAAAAGTTTAGTATTGTATTGTTAACATTAATGCGCCGCTACTATAAATAAACCTAGAGAGCACTATTTACAACACCAACTTCGAGTTTTCTAGAAACCGCTAGGAAAGCACGCTATCTAGGAGAACCGACCACGAGGAATCGACTAACAGCACTTTTAACACCTGCAGCTAAGGCGCTAGCGCGTAGTAGGGAGAAGAAGGAGGCCTTCCTTTGTTATCTCACGCCTATAAGAATTTTCTCACAGAGCTTAGGCTCTAATGCCAAGACTAGAGGGGCTAATAGGAACGCAGGAGCTTATTAAAGCTTAAATTTAGCAAGAAACATAGACATATTAAAACAATAAAAATAACAAAAAAAGACTAGCCTTAAAGGACCTTAGAGGCACAAGCAAGCGACTAATGGATAATAATCTAGAAATTGA